AGAAAAAGTGCACTTATGTGATTGGTGTGAATCAAAGCCAATATAATACAAATTGTTTATCATCGAAACTTCTATTCACTTATTTTTCAAAATTTATTTAATAAAAAATAAATAAAATAATTTAAAAACATAAAAAATATAAATGTAATAAAAATTAAAATAAAAACATAAAAAAAGTAGTGAATGAAGGAAAAAAAGGGTGCCATGTGGACATTTTTTCCTTTCCCTATTCTCTACGATTTCTTTTTGAAAAACACACTTATGTTGGATTGGTGTAAATCAAAATCAATCAAAGATGGATTATTTTATTATCCTAACCTCTATTAATTTTTTTTTATAAAACTTATTTAATATACAATTTAAATAAAAAATAATAAAAAAATAAATTTAACAAAAAAAATAAAATGTAAATAATGAAACAAGGGAAAAGTACCACATGAAAACTATCTCATTACCCCATTCCTTACAAAAGTAAGTATTAAACTAGAATTTGATCCGCGCTTCGCTTTAAGACAATTTTTTATTTTTTAAAATTATGTTTTATATATAAAAGATGTAAAATTTTTATGCCAAGTTTTAATGGATGACAACAGATAAACAAATATGAACATAATTATTTTTTAATGTAAATTATAACTAAATTATATATAAATGTAGTTATATATTAAATTAAGGTATTAAATACTATCTTCATTAGTATAATATATATATATATATAAATTAAATAAGTAATAAATACATATTTTTATATATCTCAACAAAGGTTAGGGCAAAGCACTCAAATCTGATCCTGACTTGACCTAAATTGTTCAAATATATAAAAACTTAACCTAATTTAAAAAAATGTTATATCAATTGGATCGTAAAAAATTGAAATCTATCAAATATAAATTGTTTCATCATCCTTACTTCTATTGATTTTTTTCTTTACAAAACTTATATAATCAATAAAATTTTAAAAAATAATAAAATGACAAAAAAGCCTAATGAGATGGCATGTGAATTTATTAAATTAAAATATTAAATAATATTTTTTAATAAAATATATAAATATGGAATTAAATAAATAATAAAAAATATATTTTTTGTATATACCAAAACCAAGGTGTAACACCTAAAACCTTAATTTGACTCAAAATCGAATTAAAAAAAAATCAATCCAATTATCCCAAATTAAAAGAAAATACACCAATTGGATCGAAATGAATTGAAATCCATTAAATACGGGTTATTTTGTTATCTCAATCTCAATTGAATTTTTTATTACAAAATTTATCTAATAAAAAAATAAAAGTTAAAAAGTTAAAAAAAAAGAAAAGCAAAAGTTAAAAAAAAACAAAAAAAATGAAAAAAATAAGGAAAGTATCATGTGAAAACCTGAGATAAGATAGAACACCTTAAATTTATCTCCAATTTGACCTCATTTAAAAAAAAATCTCAACCCAATCTCAATTTTTTTAAAAAAATGCATTTATATTGAATTAAATGCGAATCAAAACTAGTCGAATTAAAATTGTTTTATCATTGCAACTTCCATTGATTTTTTTTTTTACAAAATTTATCTAATAAAAATAAAATAAAAAATAAAAAATAAAAAGTAGAGAATAAAAGAAGGGAATGGAGCCTTATAGACACCTTTTCTTTCCCCAATTCCTTACAAAATTAAGTATTAGACTAGAATTTGATCCGTACTTCACTACGAGATAATTTTTTATTTTTTATTAAATTAAAGCATTAAATTAAATAAATAATATTTTTTAATATATTATTAAATTAAATAAATAATAAAAATGTATTTTTTTTTATATACCAAGATTAAGGCATAACACCTAAAACCTTACTCTAACTCAAACTCAACTTAAAAAAATAAAAAAAGTTAAACTTAATTATCCCATCTTAAAAGAAAATGTACCAATTGGAATAAGGCACATCAAAATCCATCAAATATGTATTATTTTATTATATCTATCTCAATTAATTTTTTTATTACAAAATTTATATAATAAAAACATAAAATATAAAATAAAAGAAATAAAAAAACCAAAAAACAAAAGCTTTAAAAAAATAAAGAAAATGAAAAAAAATGATGGGATGCCACTTAGACATTTGAGACAGGGTGAAAACCTTAAATCCATCTACAACCAATCCTATTTTTAAAAAATGTCCAATCTCGGTCTTTTTAAAGAAAATGCACTTTATTGGATTGATACAAATTAAAACCAAGGATTGTTTTATTATCCTAACTTCTATTTACTTGTTTTTACAAAATTTATTCAATAAAAATAAATAAAATAAAATACATAAAAAAATTTTAAAGATAGATTTTTGTTTGCCCCAACTCTAACTTCACTTCATAAAATTTACATTCAAAACATTATTTTTTTAATACTTGATCCGACATATATATATATAATTACAATCGACTTGACATGAAATTAATTTAATAATTTTAATTTGATATAATATTAATAAAATATTTTTTTAATATATATTATATTTTAATTATATATAAATATATTTTTTTATTAAGTTAAATTTTAAATTAAAATATTTAAATAATAATTTTATTAATATAATATATATAAATATAAAATTAAATAAATAATAAAAAATATTATATATACCAAATTAGAGTAAAATAGATTTATCTAAAATCATACTCTGACTCACTTCAATTTAAAAGAAAAATCCAACTCAACCCAATTTAAAAAAAAAAAAACCCTAAGATCAGGTCGAAACCCTATTTGAATAAATTTACCATCTTTAAGAGAAAGTGAGGGGAGCCACGTGTAGACCATTTCTTTCTTGCATTCTCTACAAAATTAAGTATTAAATACCTGTACATTAATGGAATCTTACGAGTTCCTTTAGCTGCTACTTGACAGCCAAAGATCGCATGGAACTTTTTTATTATTTTTATTATTTTTTATTCTAGTGTTTATAATTTTTTTTATATTTAACAAATTTAAACAATTTTAATTTCATATTATTTCTCTACTCTATTTTTTATGGATAAATATTTTTATAAAAATGCAAAAAATTTTATTTGATTAAAATGTAATGCAACAGGTAATTTTCTGTTAATGAATTAATATTATATTTATAACAATTATTTGTATTTTCAAAAATATTTTTATAATTAATATAAAACTAACATTTATTAATATAAATATATAAGATAAAAATAAAAAATATATAATTATAATTATAATTATCTAAAAAAATAGACTCACAAAGCCTATTTCTAGTGATAATGATTCAAAAGTCCTTTTAATCGTTTACTTCACAACTCAAATTAATTAAAAGAAAAATGACAAGGCCTCGACTGATGTATATTTCTAGGTTTTCAAAGTTTATATACATATATTTTCTTCAGTTCAAAATTAGAAGACATTAAAAAGTTGGATATGCACGTGAAATTATTTTTTTTCTTAGGTTTTACAAAAGACAAAGTTTTCTCTAATTAATAATTATATTAGGGTACCATAAATTAAAAATAAAAATTAAAGCTAATTAATTACTTAGACCATTAAATTCATTACTTTGTCTCCCACTCCATTATTAATTCTATTGTACTTGTGTTATTAGACTTAGTGTTTGAATTGAATTTTTAGGCGAAGAAAATTCGAGTGTTTCACCACATGAATCACATGTAATATAGTAAATCAAATCATGCCGAAGTGGGACCTACAACATGCATGAACCTTTTTAATTTCCCACTACAATTATGACTTCAAACACAAATACGATTCTTCTTCCAATGTTTGCTGCCTAAGTAACATACTTCTAAACATTCCTTTCCTTTGTCTTTGTATTCTTTATTAAAGTTTTCTAATTTTTTTATAAAAAATTTATTGGTGTTAAGATTTATATTTGAAATAATTTTATATTTTTTAATATTTAAAATTATTATAGATTAAATTTGATAATGAAAATTAAGAATTAAATTTTTTACTAACAAAATCAATGGGATTTTGATTTAAAAGTAAGGAAGAGGTTCAAAAATAAAATCATAAGATCAAAAATTTCAATCTTATTGTGTGTAAATTTAAATTTGTAGATATTTTGAATTAAAAAAAAAAAAAGGTGAAAATGTTAATAGGCAAAAGAGGAATTAATAAAAGAAGTCCTAGAAGTAAATTGTGAGTGATACAATTAAGAATATAATATATCAGAAATAATAAAGAATTACGAGTTCCTTAGGCTTACCCCATTCGCCGCAATCGGCGTTGTTAATATAAACTATAAATTGGACCTCTCTCTGGCTATGTATAACAATAGCAGTATATTGTTTGGTGTGACCAAAATGAGGAAATATTAACAGTAATCTCCAAATGCAATTTCTTCATTGGTTAAAAAAAAAAAGAGCAAGTTGCAATTATTAAGTATTTTCCTAAAGTAATTATTGGATCTGTAAGAAAGCAAGTGGACCCCTGGCTGTGGCTGGCTATTGAGTCGTGACTGACTGTCCTGTTGCAGGGGTTGGCGTGGGGGGGAACTGGGGATATTTTATTATTTTGAATTTGCATCCGCGTTTGCTTTTGCTATAAATTAGATTGATCGGGTTGGAGTTGCACAAACAAATCACATAAACTCTAAACCAAAAATACGGGCCATGACAGCCGAATCTCGTCTTAATTCATTGTGGGAGTAGGATCACTGATCTCTGTACAGCTCTCTCTTTCTCGTATTAATTTCTCGCATGCCCAGCTGCCTTCGCTTTCTGCACTACTTATATGACTCCTCAACCCTCAACACACACCACTACTTGTTGGCATTGATTAATTTCCAGGTTCGTCGTCTTAATTTCTCTATTTATTATTATTTTCCTTTCAATATCTGTCTTTGCATTCAATCTATCATTTTTATATAAAAAAATCATACAGTGAAAATAAAAAAAATATTATTATAAATATTAAATTTTAAAATTTAAATTTATTAAATATTATTTTTTAAAATAATTATATAAATGAATTGAATTAAATTTTAAATTTATAAATTTAATACATCTTTGATTTGACTTTCATATGTTTGAATTTGTCTCTGCACAATCTCTCTCGGTGTCCCAATTATTAAGCCTTGAATTGTAGGTCATTGTTTTTTTCTTCGTTAACGTTATCCAATCAAATTGTTATTCCTTAATTAATTGCTATTTCAAAATAAATGGCTCCAATTTTTTTTAGGTCTAGCAATGGCTGCCAATGCCACCACTCGTCCTCATCCTGCCTATGTGGTTTCTAAAAGCTTGCGTCTTTACTTCAAACATCCAATCTTTGTTTCTTCGTTTCACCTTTTTCTTTCCATGTCATTCCGTCCCATATATGTACATATCTACATACATACATACAATTCCGTGCTGATTATTAACTATAATAATTTTTTAATCCTTAACAATAGTATTTCAATCCTTTTAACAGCAAAAAAAAAAAAAAAAATTTTTTTTGGTTACAAATAGGATCATTTTTTTTTTTTGGTCTTATAGATCAACAGGACAGAAGCAGCAAATTATTTGATATTGACCCCTTTTTGGCATTCTTTCTTTCAACTAAAAGAAAGTTAAAAAAAAAAAAAGTGTGGATAAATTCGCAACTCAGTATTGAACTGGAAAAGTAAAAAGATGGTCAACTTTTCTTCAGTTCTAATTCTGGATCTGTGATCTCTTATTCCAGCTAGACCAATCACAAATCACAAGTAAAAACCAAACAAACTCTCCCTCCAATCTTCATTATTTGTTGTCATTTGCATTTACATCACACTCAAACTGCTATCCAAATTCAGACGCTATCATCACATTCTAACTTTAAGAGAAACCAACAAGATGATCCAAACATAAATTAAAAGGTTTTTACTTAAGGAAAAAAAAAAAAAAAACTATCCACTTGCACTTCTCTATATATTTGGAGATTGGTACGTGCATCACAGGGAAAAAAAAAAGAGTGATGGACCAAACGTATCTGACTACAATTGAGAAATTATTACTGGACGCTTAGTTATCAACAACACAAATACAAATACAAATACAAATACAAATACAAATACAAATACAAATAAAAGCTGACCAATACCCCGCTCATACATATTCAAAGTCTTGACAATTCAGGGTACCTTCACCGATGTTTCCTCCTCCAGTCCCTGGACGCTTAGTTATCAACAACACAAATACAAATACAAATACAAATACAAATAAAAGCTGACCAATACCCCGCTCATACATATTCAAAGTCTTGACAATTCAGGGTACCTTCACCGATGTTTCCTCCTCCAGTCCTCGACACATTGATTTATATGTCTTTTACCGCTGCTCGCACTTAGCTTTTACTTGCCTTCTTTTATGTTCCTAACTTTGAATTTGTTTTGACGTCGTACGTCTCCAATTTGTAATCTTGCTCTCCCCTTTCCCTTCCCTTCCCAGGATTTTCCTCCTCTTCTGTTCTTTTAGCCTCAGATTGTTATGCAATATTCCTGTGGCTGCTACAAAAAACATAACCATCAACAAACAGGGAGAATTGAAAGAAGCTGCTGCTGCACTGCACCCAATATATTTTCTGTCTGATATATAAACAAAGGTGAAAGAATAAGTGTACGTGTATAAGCTATAAGATGGGTTTCTGGGCACTGTTCGAGGTGGCTTCCATGCCAATTTTGCAGATATTTATAATAAGTTTGTTGGGCGCTTTCATGGCGACTGATTATTGCAAACTTCTCCCAGAAGACACCCGGAGATCCTTGAATAAGGTACCAATTTGTTTTCGTGCATGAACAAGCTCTTTTCGTTATGTATATATGTTGGTGAAATTATAAATATATGTTTAGCATTTGAAGCATCGGTGCATAATCATCTTCTTTATCACCCAAAGATAATCATTGTTTACCCATCTTATATTCATTTAACCCTTAAAACATATATGTTCTGTAACTAAACGCAGCTTGTGTTCGTTGTGTTTACCCCTGCGCTCATGTTTGCAAGTCTTGCCAAGACTGTCACGCTCCAAGACATTATTTCATGGTAGGATATATGCTTTACTCTCTTTCTCTCTCTTTTTCCATATATATATATATGTGAGAGGGGTTCAAAGTAACTCTCTTTCTGCATTATAAACATCTCATGCTCTTAGTGTTTTTTTTTTTTTTTTCCAATACAAAAACTAACTTCTGAACCCAAAAAGAAAGCAAACGTGCAAATAAAACAGAGAAAATACTACATACATAGTTACATACATAAATACATACTTATTAACTTTCGTACCAAAGGTGGCTTCGTTTCAATGGGTTTGATCATCAATTCACAGGTGGTTTATGCCTGTAAACATTGGAATTACCTTTCTAGTGGGAGGAATTGTTGGATGGATCGTGGTTAAGATACTGAGACCAAAGCCCCATCTGGAAGGTCTCATCATTGCTACATGTTCATCTGGTAAGTTTGACTGAGCTTTCAAGGCCCCTTCCTGTTTTTTCCTACATGTCCAGTTTAATACATTCAAGTAGTTGACTATTTTGTACTTAAATTATTTTTTCTTGAATTAGGGAACTTGGGAAATCTTCTCCTTATAATTGTCCCTGCAATCTGTAATGAGGATGGAAGCCCATTTGGGAATCGTAATGTTTGCAATTCAGTTGGACTTTCATATGCATCTTTCTCCATGGCGGTAATGTGATAATTTCAAGCTTTCACCTACAAGCATTTGGTTCCAAGAACTAGTAATTAAACCCTGTATAATTTTATGAGCAGAAGGGCTGATCAATTATGTATGTTTTGGCTAATTAATGCAGCTTGGTGGTTTCTACATTTGGACTATCAGTTACCAAATGCTAAAAATTTCGGCTGTGAAATTCAAAGCATTTGAAGCAGCTGAGGCATTCGTTTCAAAAGAAGCCAACAAGAGCTTGGATGCCACAGCCGAAAGTCAGCTTCTGAAGGGAGAAAGTGAAGAGCAAGTTGCTATAACACTGGCAACAAAATCTATTGAAGATCCCGAGAACCAAGCAGTTCGTAGCCTTTATACAAAAGTTTCTGGAATAATTGAACAACACTAATCATTCATTAATCCTCATGCCTTTGAAATGACTGTTATTGCAGAATGTATCCCAAGAAAGTAGCCCAAAGCAAAAAGGGAAGGCATCGTTCTGGGTTAAAGCGGTGGGGTTTCTTCGTCAGATTTTAGAAGAGCTAATGGCACCGCCAACGCTGGGTGCGGTAAGTTTCTACTTCCTATATAGTTGTGTTCTTTTACCATTGTGTTCTTTTACCATCGACAAGATACTATCGTTTTCCATTTCCATATATGTCATGTGTGTATCATTATCAGATTTTGGGATTCTTGTTTGGAGCGACCGGTTGGCTGAGAAATCTTATAATCGGTGAGGGGGCTCCACTACGGGTAATCCAAGACTCAATTAAACTACTAGGGTAAGCGCTCTTCTCTCTTTGCTGATAATCCTTAAAGTAATGGTTATATACTTATTTCGTTTTCGATTGAATAATGGCCAAAATACAAAAAATGTGAGGCTCCCTCCTCCTTGTATTAATTTTGTAACAAATGCTAAGAGTAAAAACCCTGTGCAGGGATGCAACAATCCCATGCATCACCCTCATACTAGGAGCCAACTTGATTCAAGGTTTACGTTCCTCCACAATCAGACCGTTGCTTGTCGTGGGAGTGGTCGGTGTTCGATACATTATACTCCCGGCTATTGGTATTTTGGTTGTTAAAGCAGCTGGGAACCTTGGCTTCCTACCCTCCGACCCTTTGTTCCGTTACGTGCTGATGATTCAGTTCACTCTGCCACCTGCTATGAATATTGGTCAGTAACCAAATCGGTTCATTCATACAGTAGCATTCTTCTGTTTATATGTCCAGTCGCGAAACCTAATAATAATGATTGCAGGTACCATGACCCAGCTGTTTAATGTGGGTCAAGAGGAGTGTTCGGTCCTCTTTCTATGGTCATACCTGGCTGCCGCTCTTGCTCTCACAACTTGGCCAACAGTCTTCATGTGGATCTTGACCTGAAGAGACTCCAGTGCCGGATTTAAGAAAGCCCAAAAATAAAAAAGCCATCAATTCATATTTCATTTATACAGCTGAACTTGAGAATGAGATTCTTTTTTTTTTTTTTTCCCTCTTTTAATATGGTATTGAAATTGAAGCGAGAGATGAGTGATTAGTGAAGACTGAAGACTGAAGTCGAGTGGTCTGATGTGTAATGGCTTGTGAAATGACAAGTGGAGGTCAAAGGGGTTCCATGGCGTGGATATATTTACATATAGGTGCCAGTAATTAACTTAATTGTAATAAAAAAAATATACAGATCTGTTAGGACTAGGAAGCTTGTTTCTGTTCAGGGGGCTGGGGGTGGGGCATTATACCTCATTTTGTATGTAAAATGTTATAGTTCATCATATTCATTTCAGTGTCATCATAGTTGGATTCTTTCTCTTGAGGTCTTCCGAAAATTTTTGGATTGAAGATTTTGTAGTTGAAATGAAAAGCAATGTACTCTGCCACTTGCTGGGACTGACAACAATATTCAAACCATGTATATGGCAGCCTTTAACTAACCAAGCAATGGCATCCATCAATTAAACTCAAACCAACCAGAAATTAGTACACCATAGACTAGGGTCATGTCCAGCTCTAAAAATTTTATCCTTCGACCTTGTAACATTGATAAACAAAATTGATGATACAACTTCCTGCATTGTGCTTTGAGATGTGGCACACGAATACAAATACTACTAACATTTATTTAAAATTGACGTATCGGTCTCAAAGGTTAACCTTGAAATTGAAAAATGAATGTAATCGTTGGAGCCAACTTGAAAATTGTATGAATCAAACTAGATTCAACTGAGAACAAGGAATGTTATAACACTAGCACACAAAACTTGCCACTAAAGGGTCCACATAATAGTTCCATCTTCTAGGTAAGGGTAAGCTGGAGTTTTAACCACTTGGGTTGGGGCTTCACAACCTGCAAATGGATCCACTGTTTGCATAACACTATAAACAAAAAAGGCTATTGTCCTGCTTCCCTACTCTCCTCTTGTTGTTAAGCACACGGCTCTTTCTATAATATCTAAGTAGACTGTCAAATTTATGCATGAACACACATTGACAACTTCCACAGTTCTAATTGGGAGTGGAAACCAGTTGACCATTCAACACGAAACTTCATGCATGAATAATCAGCAATATGCATATAAGAAGACAAGAAATCAGTAGCAGCAACTCAATGTTTGAATATCAAGTTGGTTGGGGTACCTAAGCAAGTGTAATGTACAAATAATTGTCTCAACAGAAATGCCCTGTTTATTCACCTTCCTCTCATTTAATGTCATTGATTCTAAGCTCAAAGTCGAAAGGCCAAGGTGAGTATGATATCATCAACTAGCCAACAAAATGAAGTTGATAGTTGGCAGACAAGGTGGAGATATCCTAAAAGCAAACAGCATATGACAAAGCACTGGAAATGAAAATATAAGATGAAGATTAAAGAGCAAACCTCTATCACTGAAATTGTTTGACTTTAACCATTCAGTGCTTTACAAATGAATCTCTGTTAACAAAACAACATTTGGAAACATCCCCTAGGAATAGTACTGACATTTTATTAGTTGTATCACACTCAAACTTATGGAACTAATAGCCAGAAACAAAAATTTTGCAGAGATGAGTGCTGTACAGAGCCCTAATTCTATTGCAAACTGCCACGTTTGTTGTCAACCTTATCCAGAATTATGGACAGCAGTAACATTGTTGACAGAGATTCTCACGAAAGTCCATCTGACAGCCACAACATTTTCAAATTAGCTTTATTATTCCAGGCTCCAGATACTGAAATGCAAAGAATCAGCAGTTTATAAAAATAACATAATGAAGATTGACATTATTATCAAAAATGAAAAAGATGAAACGAGTATAGAAAGTATCACAGGTTTTGCAAGCTGCAGCTCCACAGTCAATGCCATTAGGGTTTTAATTCAGAAGATACCTTCTTTACTTTTCCAGCTTTGGTCTTCTAGCTGAAAGTGTTACTCTGCAACATCTTCACAATTGATTTCTGCCTCCAGCGTCCAGCAAATTTTTTTTTTTTTCTTGATCGTTTACCTAACTGCATACCCTGCAATTCCTCAACCCAAACCCATAAACAACATAAATCTCGTCCACACAAGCTTTTAGCTTAAGGTTTTCTTTCTTTCTTTCTTTCTGGTTTGAAGAAGTTTGCACACTGGCATCTTCCCTCAGAACTTCAACTCGTTCATAATCATATCAGGTGAACAACAATGAAATGGATTAAAGTGATTATGAAAATTATCTAAACTAAAGAAAATGATAAGCAAATACATCCACTCTTATTTTTTATTTGATAGACATGGGAAGAAGAGACAAAGAAAAGACAATCATGCTTTATTTAATGTGATAATGGTCAAACTAGACAAAGACATCAACTCAATCTTTCTAACCAGTTTATGAACTCAGATATAGCAGATTACTTGACGAGATGTGCACAACAAGATCTTCACCACCCATCACAGTAAATTCCCCCTATAGCAACCAGCACTTGAGAGGTCCAAAAATGCTCATCGGAGCAGTGAATCGCTTCAACCTGAACAGGTTTGTTATGCAAATCCCTACGAAAGTTCTTTATTAATATTATCTCAAATCATTGACACATGTAGGAAATTATAGCCAATTCCCGTGTGGAATTCTATACCACTAGTTATCCCATAGGTGGAAACATTGTGGTATTTGATGATTCTCACCTTTTCTAAGACATAAAAAACAAGATGACCACTTTTGGGTCCCTCAACCAGCCACCATTGAGACAAAAGAAAACTTGAGCTGGAATTATTCCTTGTTTCACTCAAAAACAGTAGACACAAAAAGGGCTCAGAAAATCTCCTTTCTTTCTGCTTTTCCTCATTTTCAATCAATTAATCCTTGCCTTTTGCAACCAACATAAATGTCTAGTCATAAAACATGCAAGGAAGATTTATTTAAATATTCCCACCACTCACGAGTCCATAAATGCTCATATGTCACAGGCATATTATGGCAAGACATTCCATGGAATCAGTAATGACTTTTTTTTCTTTAATTTTCTTCTTTGGCTGCCAAATGAAAAATATTGATTCGAAATGGTGAAAGAAAGAAGACATACTTAGGTTGGCAAAAGAGAAGAGATTTAGTATATCTTCTTTTCAGCTGTAGAAACTTCTAAATCTACATTCAATCATCGTAGCAAGATAACATAGTAAGCCTCCTATAACATACTTTTAGCATGAATGGATTACATTTTATGAATTATTTTGAAGTATATTTTACCTATAAATGTTTGCTATTGTTATTGGTCTGCAGCAATAGAGATAAAATTTCAGAGAATTGCAGTCGCTTTGATGGGCAACTATTCCAGCACTTGGTCATCAGAGATTTGAGGATTTGTGGGCAGTCCTTAGGGATATCGGGCCTTAGGCCACAAGCAGCTATTCCTACTGCCGCTTGCACCGGTGAACATGCAGAATAGGCTGCCTCACCCGTCACCATCTCCCAAATCACCATCCCAAAACTATAGGAATTACTCATCCATGTCTCAGTAACATTCTCTGGGTCCCCAGCAATGATCTGCACTCAAAACATATTGGGGCCGAGAAATGATCAGCTCCTGTAAGTTGTACAGAATTGGAATATGAAACAAATAAAAAAAAGCACATATAACATATTATTGTTTTTGCAAGTCAAATCATGACATAATGCATTACGCCAAAATATCAACAACTTTAAACACTGAACAAATTAATTATGTAAATTTGGTATACAAATAAGCATAAGCGACAAACATCTGCAACGTTAAAGAGACCTAACTTGCATGTAGAAAGAATCAACCAGTTAACGTTGAAAGAAATTTTCACCACAGAAACCCCCCCATCCCCATGGATGCATGCCCAAAAAAAAGACAAACAATAAAATATGGCATCACTATATAGTCACTGAAATATATAGAATAAATATCATAACTTATTTCCTCTAAAACTTTAAAGATAATCATAATATCAATATCAATTAGGCAAAGTAGCAGTCGCACAGTGGCCTTTAACATTTGGTATGGAAAAGGACTAAAATCATGCTAAAATTAAAAAGTTCCGATATGCGGGCTCCACAGTTAGACAATTCGGTAAAAGTAGCACTTCAACAGTATTGATGCTTTGTTAATTGAGAATTTAGGATTGCATAAATAAAGGTAAACACCATTTTGAAGTGTAAAGCAAAAACAATCATTAAGAAATGTTACGCATGCCCAAACAATGATGTTGGATAGGTGACATAAAGTCTCTTTTAGCAAGATTAGTTGATCTAATAGTTGTACCCACATACATTGAACCTTAAGAACATTACATAAACTCAACAAAAATCAATGTGAATTGCCCAAAAGTAGTAAATCAACTGTTGAGAAGGTTTATTTAGGTGAAATGATTTATTATAGCTGGACTGTGATTGGTGAAGTTCACTGGGCATGATGGTTATGAGTTATGATCAATGTTGGAAATAGAGTTTGTGCGATTGGGGGAGGGAATGAAATGAGGTTATGACCAATGTTGAATAGGCATGATGAAATTAATTCAAAGAACAGTAAGTAAGATGATGCAAACCTCAGGAGCTAGCCAACGGTAACCATCAGTTTCATACTCCATTGCCTCGCCAACACTCTTGCAAGCAGTGACTATACCCATGTCCCCCAAGCATGCGTTACCATGCTTATCTAGCAGAATCCTCTGTGTATTGAGGTCTCTGTATGCAACACCATGATCGTTAAGAAACTTGACTCCTTCTGCTACATCAGCAGCAATTCTCATTATCTCCTTAATCTGAAGCTTCTTGTTCTTTAGCATCAAATCATGGACTGATCCACCTTCCGTCAACTTGGTCACAACACACAACCCATTATTTTCATCAACACAAACACCACAGAATTGCAAAATGTTCCTATGCCCACAAGTCATAAGCTCTAAGAGATCCTTTCGAAGTTCAAACTCGTAAGAATTCCCCTTGTCACATCCTTTGAGCTTTTCAATTCCAACACGTTTACCTTTGTAAACACCTTTAAAAGAGTTGGGTCCAATCTGATCAATAAACTCAAGATTATCAGAGCTCAATAGCCATTTTCCAATATCATCTACACCTGATTGGATGGTTTGCCATTCATCAACCACTACAACAAACGATGAAGTGGGCAGAGGCATTTGAAGCTGAATCTTGGCATTTGCGTTTTCAATCCCATTTCTGTGAGTCTGCTCAATTGCGTCTTCTTCAGTTTCCCCAAAGTCTCTTCCCTTAGTACTCTCTTCCTGACACCCACAAAGTCCAAATGGTAGCTTCACAGTGGTCATTTTGGGCTTTTTGATAGCAGATTTGAGGGCATTTTCGATGTGGGATTTAAATAACTTGTCTTGGGGGGATTGAACCAAGAAGAGAATAATTCCAAGGGTGAAGCCTTTTTTCTCAAATGTCTGTATCTTCTTGCAACAAATGGAAGCAGTATCAAGAGCACCAGACATGGCAGACCAAGAAAAGGAAGAGTTACAAGCAAATGTGAGCTTAAAAACAGAACCTTGTACCTCATCATCAGACGCTTGCTGAATAAATATAGCAGGATGATCATCCCCTGATGCCTGTTCTATCAATTTTATATGTAGAAACACTTCTTTCATATCAAATCCCGCCTGTGCATAACTGTCAACGTAATACCCCAAACGAAAAATGAGAAAAATGTAAACTTGAGGAATAAGAAATAAGAAATTTTTGGCGATAGCTAAGGCAAGGCCAATTTAAACGTTTTAAGAAAAAAAAAAAAAACAAAATAATGAGAAACCCAAACCATAACTGTTTAAAAGCCAAGAAAAACAAAACCCATGCTTCAGATTTGAGTTTAGTTAATGCTGAAAAGAAACTGGTTTTAAATTTGTGTTGCTCATTCTTGCATTTTTCAGAGTAACCTAAAATGAGTATGAACTCGTAATAGGCAAGGCAAGGCAAGGCGAGGCGAGGCAACCTGAAAGGCAAGGAATCATAATGCTTCCGAATATTGGAGACAAGCTTCTCAGGCAACTGACTTCCAGGATAAAGCTGAGTCAAGTTCCGTACAACGGTACCCCAGACCACTTTTCGGCAATTCTCGACTTTGGAGGAAGCAGAATGGACAGAGGAGACAGGAAGAGGCTGATGACGTGGGGAGGAGGAGTCGAGGTTGAGAGAGTTCTTGAGAGAGGCGATGGCCTCGGAGACGTTCCTGCTCAGCCTCTGAAATCGTTTGTGCATGGCGGATGGCGCTTCGAGTTTGGCAGAAGAAGAAGAAGCAGAAGCAGAAGCAGAGGAGGAAGAAGAAGAAGAGGGCTCCTCGGATCTGTCGTTAGTCCGCATCAGAACCTGCTCCACCAAGTCGTCGTCAGTGGTGGATCGGCTGGACCAGCACTCGAGGGCTGCAGCCATGGGCGGTGGGTTAGGCCTAATGGCGATGGTAATGTAGAAGGGAAATGGGTTAAGCTGGAAGGAGCTTATTTTTACAAAGTGGGCGAGGGTGCTGTGCTCGAGATTTCTGACTTTGTGCTCGTCGTCTTCTTTCTTTAATTTTTTTAAAAAAATTTAATTAATTAATTAATTAATTTGTTGTCTGTGTTGGATTTCTGACAAAGGAGGTAAATATGAGGATGAGGTGAGGTGAAGCTGGTGGTTGTTTCTTTTATTTCAGGGACTGGGGAAGTAGACAGAGTACTAAGTTATAACTTAATACAAGAGCAATGTGTTTTGAAAATATGTTTGATTGATAGACAGGAAAAGCCCCTTCACTCTACATGGGCCATCATCATCATCATCATCATGCATTACGCATGCATCACTGCTACTCGTAAACTAAACTGTATAATAATATAATGGATATGCAAATTGACAAAACTAAGTCTATATTTTCTTTGCATATTACAATTACTAATGACAATTGAATATGACATGCATGTGTCTGTGAGCTTACGATGGCATGATGGTAAAATATGGTTCCTTCGAAGGTTTAATAGGGTTCTCCTCGTCTGCCAATGCCATGTGACCCACTTTGAAGAATCATGTGAAATTAGAGGAAAGAGGTGTTTCTTTTCTTTTGGGCCGTTGATTTAAGAATAAAATACTAAAAAATTTCTAAATTTTATCATTTTATTGAAATAAATTTTTATTTTTTTATTTACTTTCAAACATACCCTTATTTAAATAAAAAATTGATTTCTGTTAATATTTTATTTAAATACAAATTAAAAAATAAAAAATTATTCATATACAAATTAAGATTTAAAATTTTATTTAAATGTAAAATAAAAATTAATCACTTATTTGTATATAATAAAACTATTTAAATTTATTTAAATAAAGTAACAAAATTAGAATGCTTTTTTATTATTTTAACGTTGATTTAGGTACTTATGTGGTCCCACATGTTCCATGAAGAAGAGAGTCGAGGCTTTTCTGTTTTCTATTTGACAGATGGATAAATAACCATGACTATCGATCTGGTCTCCATGTCGCCCAGCCAATGCAATTTTCTACTAACACTACCCCAATTAGTGGCGATAATATAAAAATTACAGATTTTTTTTTGTAAAACAAATATATATAGATTGGTCCACTCCTCCGTCCACGATATGGAAAGGAAATGTCTGTCGTAGGAACAAATTTGTTGTCTATCCAACTTCCAAGAGACGAGGGCAGATCCGAGGGTTACTCCATTTTCTGTATCGGCCCGGTTCTTTACTACCATGTTGGGCCCTTGAGGAGCCGACGCACCAAAAGCCAATAACTTGTGTAGACACTTAATTGAGTTCAGATTCAGATCAATTGAATTCAGATCCATGGGTAAACTCAATTTAATTTTTATTTTGTATTATTTTTCAGTTATTTTTTTTTGTATTTTATGTATTTATTATTATTATTATGTATTAATATGTGTATATTTTTATTTATCTATTTATTTATTTATTTTATTTTTATTTTATTTATTTATTTTTTGTTAATATTTATAAATATTTTATTTATATAATTATATATTTATATTATATTATTATTATTATTTTGTAATATTTTTGAATTTATCTTATTTTATTTTTTTAATTATCTGTTAATTTTATTTTATTTATTTATCTGATTTTTTTTTATTATCTTATTATTATTATTATTATTTTTTTTTTTGAGGACTGTGATTGAAAATTGAAAAATCCTATTGTGAATGAAAATTCAATCAGCAAAATCTTTAAGTGATCAATCGCATCTAGATAAAAAAAATTGATGACGACTCCTAAAAATCAATGTCTAACAATAGATCTCCGTTATGACAACTTGCATGACGACCACACCAGAAATCAAACAGCATCCATATATATATATATATATATATATATATAAATTACACTTGGTCTTCACCAAAGGCTAATAACTTGCATTACGACAACACCAGAAATCAAACAACATCCATATATATAAATTACACTTGGTCTTAACCTAAGAAATCTTTGGTGCATGTTATGCTCTAGAAAATAAGAGTAAGCTGCAGTTTTGGGCGGTTAGGTTGGGGTCCCACAACCTCCATGTGGATCCTCACTGTTTGCAGAACACTGTAAGAAAGGCTATTGTCCATCTTTACAATCTTCTGCTGCTGCTCATCCACATACCACTCCCCGCTTCCCTTCTCTCCTCTTGTTGTCAAGTACACTGGTCCTTCTATGCCATATCTGATGATAACATACAACATACACTCGTGTTAATTTTCTTCGCTGAACAGCTTCACAAAGTAAAACATAAGCATAAAGCATTACGCTAGCCATGAATTTCCTTCCACTCTTATCTTTCTTCAGCAAACCAAAATCATTAAAAAAAAAATTTCTTTTCTTTGGGGAATGTAGGGGATCAGAAAATAAATAATCCAGCATAAGATCGAAGGTCATACTTGGGAACAAACACAATAAACCCGTTGGATCTTATCTTCACTATTCTGGCTTCAGTGTCAGTGGGCCTGCAGCAGAAAAAATTCAATACAAATAAAACTTCAATCGATTTTGGTGCATGTGCAATTGTGAATGCTGGTCTACACAAGTGCGTTTGACTCAATGGCAGATGCTAAGGCACATACCGTTTTCTGAAGTAGATGATAGTATGGAGCTCCACAGAGGCCCTGCTTGCCATTTGGGCATTCCTATGACGATAATTCAGATCTGCAAAGTGAGAGTATGAATTTCATTTTCATCGTCCAATGGGTGAAGATAATTTTCAACCACATAAAAACAAACAGGTAGATGCACTGGAAGCCATGAATGGCTATATCATGGGTACACGGCATATGTAAAGACTGTTTGCAAATCTATGTAGCCTAGAAACGTTAAGAAAGAGAACAAGACTTACTATCAGCAATACTAGTGAGTTGGGTTCTGTCTTGGAAAACTGAAGGAAGCTTATCTATCCCTAGGGATGCAGCAAGCAACCTGTGCACAATAACATCTGCAAAGAGGGCAAAGTTGCATACTCAATTTATAGTATCATCACCAAGTACACATTCAGCAATAAAAGGAAAAGAAACAAACAAATTTCTGTTCACAAACCTGCATATCTCCTAATAGGAGAAGTGAAATGAGTATATAGTGGCGCAGCAAGCCCATAATGATGATATTCTGGAGGGCTGAGATCCCCGCTACAGAAATAAACCGCCTAATTTGTAATCCAAGGCAAATTAGTACAAGTAAAAACATGCCTCAGCCAAAATTATCAGGAGATTGAAATAATTATTCTCGCTAACTTCACCTGTGTCATACACCTAGTTGCCAGTATCCGAATCAGCTTATTAAAGTAAGGATCATCACGCTGCAAGATATTCTTCCCAACAGTAAGAAATCAACTAAGAGAGAAAGAGAGGGGGCTAAACAAATACATGACCCAAGCAACAACGATTAAAAAAAATCAGAAGCCTGACAAGCTAGAAGCTTGACAAAGCAATGTCTACGAAAAGGAACCATTTGAGGTGGTACATCAGCTGTGCTGTCAGACAATGAAAAGGAACCTTACCACAGCACGGTCAAGTGAGTCAGCCAATGCCTTCGATGATGAAACATCCAAGTCGAGTCCAACAGCAGCAGCAGTGCGCAACAAAGGTTCAAGCATCTCTCTTGTAGGAGTTGGATGACGCCTACACCCCAAAATAATGTTCAGAGCAGCAAGCCGAGGTGTCAAACAACAACAAAGTCATCATCAAGCAATAGCCACAACTCTATGAACTTTTTTCCATAAAAGGTACGTGTAGTAGATGGAAAACTAAATTGCCAGTATAAACTTCAAAAATACTATGGATTGTCGAAGAGATCACATGGTGTACATTATTCACAATTATCACCCATTAACACTAATTTTATGATTTAACACCATCTCTGATGAAGTAATTCATATCACCTAATCTAACATGCAATCTTTTTCATCCTATGATAAACAATTCCAGTGACATAAATTTACACAGGATCATCAACTAGCTTGGAATTCTGCTGGCATTTACAGAAAAAGTAATCATTTTTCTGAGGGGGATAAACCTTATAGTTAAATCATAACCAAAAGCCAACCTTAAACAGTGCAGGAAAGAAAAGGTACAGAAGAAATCCAAGTCCCTCAAGCAAATTGACATGGCAAAAGTGGAACATAAAAGACAAGTTTACCTTAGAAGTGAACAGGAAGGAAAACAATCACGGATTTGTTTGGCAACTGAAACATTGGCAGCAAGCATAAATTCCTCAACCATTTGGTTTGCTTCTCGAATCTGATACATGCCTGAATGTATAACTCAGACATCAGACAAAAATCTAAGGATGAGCAAATCTGAAACACATTTCTTCCGGATTTTGGGAACTCAAAACCATTTAATTTAATTGACATTTTCTTAATCATAATTCTTAATTATTATCATTCATCATTGGACAAGTGAAGAAAAGGCCAAAAGTATAGGACAAAATTTAAAGGACAAAAACAATGAAATAATAGAACAAAACAAGAGTATGTAAATCATTCAATTAAACAAAAAAGGTTAACACAGATAAAGTCCTAAAATATGTTCTAATTATCCGACAGTTCCCAAAAAATAACATCACAGTATACAGAACGTATTCTGCTTGAAGCAATTTTTTAAATTGCCCTTTGGTTTGCTTTTTATGAGGGGAAACTGTAAAATTTTAATCAACCACAAAATGAACCATATGAGATTCCTTTTCATGTCTAATTCCTACATTTAGCACCTCCAACATAACTAACTACTAGAAGACCTTAATAATTAAAGAAAATTTTCTGACGGAATAATCATCATGTAGAAAAATTGGGTCAACACAAATAATTAGCATCACCATATAATTCATTGTCTCACTGCAACTACTCATGCTTGCTGACAGATAAAAAAGGTCAATTCATGCTGGTGGAGTGCAGTAGTAGAGCCCTGCTAGAAAGCATATTAATATTTCAAATCATTTACTTTTAGATGGACTGAATTTTTTTTTTTTATGAATTAAAGTTAAAATATCTTGATTCATGTTCCAGATTAAGAGTAAAATAATTGTATTAGGCAACAGACCAATATCGAGTGGATCATGAGTCTCAGTATCAATTTGAAACTTGACTTCAGCAGAAGCAAGAGTTAAGGCTCCTCTATCGATACGCCTTTGCCTCATTATCTGTAGTTTCATATGTGCCGATAAACATGTCAGAGGAATCTAAACTGAAAAAGCCAATTAACCCCAGTATATTACAATTATGAGTAGAAACAGGCTCTTTGATAAGATACCTTAGCCAGAGCATTCATATTTCTCAAATCTGTGGTTAATGGGTCCATCAATCGACTGCAAAAGTACCAAAGCAATAAGAATGCTCAGACACCAGAAAAAACTCAACACTTCATTCCACTAGGTCCTAAGAAATCAGATATCCACTGTCGTATGTAAGTGAAAAGCATATACTAGTAAGTAAGAAATAGAAAGGAAATCCATGAATGTGCTACAAAGAAATTTTCACAGATTGTATTCACATTTTTTAGACCAGATGAGCAAGAAAGGAAATGGGAAATTTCTTTTGCCCTGAATATTTGACAGAGTAAGAGAATAAGCAAACTAGGTGGGTAATAGGTGATACTTTTACCAAAACATATATAGAAACGAATAGTAAAAGCAAATAACAGTTTAGGAAATTTAGACAGTTATCAACCTTAAACATATCCAAAACCCTCAAAGCCAACACATTCCCTATTCGCACCAAAATAATAGACGCTCTCTGACAAATAAGTAAACTAACAGCTTTTAAGATCCAAGCTTAACATCTAGAGGGAATGATACTCTTTTCTGTCTGGTGGTCATTTTTGCCGCTTCACACTTTTGCTCACAGCAGCTGTTTACTTGGTGAAGAAATTTGAGTTAAATAGCATGGCTAATTTATCCTATGGAAAAAAAGTTGTTTACATACTGATGCACAGGGATGGATCCAAGATTCATACTCAGTGGGGGCAAAATTATTAAGTAATATTTGTTTACATAAATTTTATTTAAAAATTATTATAACTTGAAATAAATTTCGTTAAAATGTATAATGTCAAATACTTCTACAAATATAAAAAAAATAAAATATTTATATAAAATTTTTTAAAAAAAGTATAAAAATTCATTTTTATATAAGAACAAGACATGAAAATTCGTGTTTGTTTGTCTTAAGTTTGTTGTGTCTAGAAAGAGTATTAACACTTATATAGATAAACATGAATATGATATGATTAAATAAACAGATTAACAATTTAAACACGTACACAAATATATTAATTAAATGGGTTACATAACATCACACAACTAACAAATTTATCAAGCAAGTTGGATTAAACACAACATAGCACGACATGTTTTATAACCCATTTAAAAACTCATTTTAACTCGATTAAGAAGTAAAGTGAAGAGATAAATTTTATATTTACATTTTAAACCATTAGCTTACTCAATTACTCTTTTTGTTTTGTCATTACATCTATATACATTTCAATATTATAATCGATCCATAGTTAAAATGTTTCTTTTACATTTAATGGGGTAAAAAGCAAAAAAATTAAGAATTTTGGATTTATTTGCAATAATTTTACTTATTTTTTAGGACTAGTGGGGCAAAACACAATAATTATTCAAATTTGGGGTCTTTTACCAATAGAAGATCTCAATTTTCAAGATTTCAGTGGGGGCAGCTGCCCCCACCTTAAATCCGCCCCTGCTGATGCAACAAGATCGGTCGAAGGTATTTCTAGAATGGAATCAATATTCAGAACAAAAATAAAGCTAACAAGTCATGACTCCATAGCACACAATTTCAAAGTCTGCATCATAACCATTTAGCCTAAAAGCATTTTCAATCCATCCAGCAAGAACAAGTAGTAACACAAACTCCAATGGAATCTCTTCTCAGTAATTGTATGTTATTCCCCACCCTTGATAGCTCTATTCACCACGAACTAACAGCAAAATACTGGGATTATGTATATTAATTCATAGTCTGAAGCTTGAGTACACCATGTGTAACTCTCTTCCTTACTTCAGAAACTATTCATCCCTGTGTCACACCCAACTTCTGAATGAGCCACATCCATTGATAATCTACTAAAAGTGGCAAGTCTGGCAATGTCACTTTGTATGCCATGGGCACTCAACAAATGATTACAAAATGTAAAAGTTAAAATGTTGAAGCAACATGAAAAAAAAAAGTCTATGTGGCAAGAACCTACTAAAGAAATCTATCTTAAGAAGGAAGCCATGCTTCTTATTATGGCAAACACAAAGAATCACAATAACTAAACAAGAAAAAGAAAATGTAGCTCCATGAATCAGATAAGGGTGCAATAAGTAAAAATGAGCTAGTCTTTTGACAATTAGTCAAAAAGGCTACATTAGCGCACCTATCATCCATCCTAGCCTGGGCTTCAACATAAGATAATGCAGCACATGATTTGATAACACTTTTTGTGAATCTTGTCGAGATAATTTCTGCTTCAGGCGTCATTTCCTGGAATTGATTGAAGGTAAGTTTTTATTTATTGGAAAAGTAAACAAAAACCTAGCCTTATCATCATGTGAATAAATTTAGTAGCACATACCCAAATAACTGAGAAAGATAGCCTTTCTACATCAGCTCTAAGTGAACATATATCTGCAAATAATAATCATGAGTAGTTTAATATCAGAAAAAAAAAATTGAAAATCAAGTATAGAATCCAACAAAACCTTTTTATGAGTTATCATCATATACAACTCTAAAAAAGTACTTGGAAGGGGAAAAAGAAATACAAAAATAACCTTCTGTCAGAGGTTTAGGAAGCATGTCGATTCGGCGCTCAACAAGGTAGACAGATGTGCCCCTCTGGGAAGCTTCATCATCCAGTGGGGTGCCAGGGTGAACAAAATTTGTTACATCAGCAATATCTGATTAGATATTATTAAAGAAGAACATCCAACCGCATCAAGATATTTTAAATACATAAAAGCCCTAATACAAGGTACATGTAATTGTTGCAAATCTCCCAATTTTCACAAAGCACAGCCTTTCATGATGATTGATTAGAAACAATAGATACAGCGAGGGTATCATCTTTCTGGTTCCCTCTCTTCATAAGAAAAAAGATTATGCGTTTAACAGATAATAAGGAGATGCATCATAAAGGTGGAAAAGGGCTCTAGAGAGGAAATTAAAAAAAAAAAAAAAAAACTAAAGTGGTACAAAAAGCACATCAATATTCTTACATAAGTATGAACCAAATATTGAGATTTCAGAGCAGCACGTGAGAATCTCTTGTTCGCAATTTTTTATTTGCAATAATTAAATAAAAATCTTTCCCTCAAATCCTAAAACTTTATAAAAGGTAATTTGTAAACGATGCATATCCATGTCAACTCTATTCATTCCTTCACATAACATGTAAGTCGGATTTCATAAAAAGATTATATAGTCAAAGTATACAGGATGCGAACTCCAACTTCGTAGTTTCCATTTGGAAGAGCAGTACAGTGTAGTGCATCATCAATGTCCTTGCAACCTGCACAAGCAAGAAGCATCTCTCTCTGTATGACATTTGCAAAATACATAATTCACTAGTCCATTAAGCATACACACCAGGGGGATCCACACTAAAGACACACAAAGATCGCAAATCCAGCCGGATAGAATTTGTCACATCTTCGCTAGACACAGACCATGGTAATGCTGGCAAACAAGCCAAAACTTGGGCAGAAAAGGGCCTTGAGTTTATATCATTCTCTATCAACACCACCTGCAACGCAATAAAAGAGTATTACTAATCTCAGTAATTACCATGAGATGGATGGAGGGAGAGAGAGAGAGAAGAAGAAGAAGAAGAAGAAGTTATTATCACATACCTCACTCTCAGTGTCTCTATCACCTATTTCTCCTATGACTCGTACATAATGACCAGAAGGATACCGAGATTGGCGGTCCCAAGAATCAACTGCCACAATTATCCTCTTATCCAAAAGATTCTCAAGTTGTCGGGTTTGAATCCGAATTTTAGGAATTCTACGATCTTTGGAGACAAATAATGCAGATGTAAAGCTTCCTGTACCAGCAGGCATAGCCATTGGCTCCAAAGACCCACAATAACTGCAAGTGATCATTTAGACTGTGAGCAGAATAGAAAGAAAGAGTCAACACCATCAAGCAGGGAAAATTAAAGAAAATGGCATTTTGACCATGTTTGATTTGAATAGCAGTGAATACAGAATCCACAAAGATTAACACATGACTTCACACGATAGGATATATGAAGAATATCTCCAAAATTACGTTATTTGAAAGAGCTTCGCTAAAGATAAAACTTGAACAGGCTGAACTAAAGATAGAAAACAAGACACAATCATGCATATTTAATTCATAACTGGGCTCTCACCTGGTTGAGGAGACAGTTATAAGCTATGCAACAGCAAAAGAACAGATATAAAAACATAATGTTTATGATGACAGCAAGATTACTTACGAATGCCAGTTCCGCTTTATAATACCAACAATACGGCCAGAATGACGAGATGGAGTGGAATTCGTTTCAGTGGCCGAACCTGATACCAGATTCGTAGTTCTAGGAGCATCATCAGCACTGCTTGGAGCTAAATGAACATCATCTTCTTCCTCATCCTCTGCAATGGAATAGAGAACATGGTAAGAAACTTGACACATACATGTAAAAGTGATAGCGGTATGTTTAGTATTTGTACCCTTATGCAACGAGACCATGATAAAAGTATCGATTTACTAAGGAACCAATAAAGACACTAAGCATTGTGCTCAGAATGAAAACATGTAAACCTTTTTATAACATTAAAGCATAGTGACAGCATACTACACAATCATTTATAAACAATAAAAAGCATTAAATTTTTCCAAGGAACTTAGAAAACACAAAAACTTAATACCTTCATCTGCAATGGATAAGTTCTTCTCCTCGTGCCACTGATCTTGAGGCAGAAGTTCTACAGCTACTATATCACCATCAAAAGCCCTATTCATGTTTTGACGTCCATATATAATTATTTCATCACCTATGCTCTCACTTCCAACATATGCTTCAAATGGATTGTAACGATTAACTCGAAGCTTTCCTTGATGGTATATTCCACGATGCAAACCCAAAGTAATCTCAGACATGGGTTTATGCTGAACAAAGAAAGGAATAAATCTTAGATAACCAATTTGTTTCATGGGAAGACAACTTAACCAAATTCACTGTTTACAATTAATAATGGTAAACAGCATTAGCAGATACACCTCTTGATAAACAACTTGTTTCTTGGAAGGTCTCAAATCTTCAATTTGTTCCATGGTAACATCTTCAGATTCGGGTGCAGGATGGACAAGCAGGTCAAGCAACTCTGGTTGACCCAAAGATTTTACATAGGACTGAACTGAAACAAATTGACCATTGAACAGTATGCTTCATGCATGAATAATTCAAATAATTTCGAAATAGAGATGATAATAGATTATTAAAAGCAACTCAATATATGAAATATCAAGTTCAGAGAGATGCTTAAGCAAGTGACGTGTGCAAATAATTTCGAAATAGAGATGATAATAGATTATTAAAAGCAACTCAATATATGAAATATCAAGTTGAGAGAGATGCCTAAGCAAGTGACGTGTGCATACTTGTGTCAGCAGATATGCCCTCTTCGCTAGCCCTCCTCTTATTGTCTCTGTCATTGGTTATAAGTAAAACTGGTGTTGCAGCACCAAGATGAGTTTGATACCATCGAGTAGCCACCCGAATTGCTGAAGCACAATTGGACATTGTAAATAAGTTGAATTTCAGAAGCAAATGATTAAAGAAAGATTAAAGAGCAAAGGTAACCTCTATCATTGTAATCATTTGGAGTTTCACCATCCATGCGCTTTACAAATGTCTCTCTATTAACAAAAAGAAAGAAATAAAGAAAGATATGAAAAGGATGTTGAATATAAAAGCATTTTATTAGCGGTCGTGAGTGAATGAAGTGGAATGAGAAAACTGACTTATGGAACTGATTACTGAAAACATAGAATTTGCGGAGAGGATTGGTGGAGAGAGCTCTAATTCTATTGTAATGGGCCATGTTCTTGTTCTTAACCTCATCCAGCACCACCGATAAGAGCACCACGTTATCAATTGCGGGGTTCTCGAGCAAGTCGATCTTACAATTAAAACATCAAATAATAATAATAACAATGAATTCATCATGTTGATTAGAATGAAAGATAATGAAAGAATCACTAATATTATATTCAAGCAAAAAAAAAAGAAAGAAAGAAACCTGATGAAGAAGGACATTAGTATCAAGAATGAGAAGGGGAGAAGAAGCATCCAAAGGAGCACGACAAGTGGAAGCGAGACATGTTTTGCAAGCAGAAGCTCCACAGTAAATGTCGTCTCTCAGATATATTTCTCTTACTTCCTGAATAATTCCATAAACAAATCAAATACTCACTCCATCGCATCATCATCATCATCAACTAAAGGCCATAGTTAGGGTTTTAAGTTTTTTATTTTAAATAGCAATAATAATAAATAACAATTAAAAAGACAGGAGTACCTTCTTAATTCTGCCCGCCTTGGTTTTCCGGCTGAATGTGTTGCTCTGCAACATCTTCTCTTCTCCTCTGGTTTCTGCCTCCAAAGTCCAACCCCAACAAATCTCTTCTTTTTTTTTTTTTTTGTTAGGTTTAAATTGCTTCGTCCTCTTCAAGTTGGAGTGCAGAAGCGGCAAAGAATAATTAATTGACCGCCTTCTCTTCTTTTTCTTCGAGCTTTTAAAGCCTAACGCTGTTGCCAAACGTAAGTCCAATTGCCCAGCCCAATCATGCTACCGTCTTCCTTAAGTTCTCCTGTAACGTTTGCTTTTTCTTTTAGATTTATATTCACCATAAAAGCCTGGTTTAGGATTTTTGGTGAAAGTAGTTTTCCTTAAAAAAATTGCTTTTCCTTCAAATATAATGCTAAACAGTAATAAAATGCTTGATTTTTTAATTCAAATTAAAAATTGTTTTTTCATGAAAAAAAATGTGTTTAAAATAAAAATTTTATTATATTTAAATATTTTAATTATTCATAACATTTTTTCACAATAATATTAAATACTTAAAATTTTTAATTACACCTTTTAATCATAATTTTTAAACATACTTTTTCTGATCCAAAATTTTTTCTATGGCAATAACAATACTAAGACAGTCCTTTAAGTCAACACTCAGATACTAGCTTGTACTAATCTACTAGTAGTATCCACTATATTTTCCATCAGGTCCAGGGACGACGCAGCTTCTGCCAGTACTCTCCACTATCAAAATCATTGCTGTGCGCAACTGGAGTTGATTAATTTTTCTTCATTTTTCCTTTTGATAATCACATACATTTTGATTAATTTTAAAAAAATAGAACGTTCATCTTTTCTTATGCTCCATTTGGATTGCACTGCAATTCCAATGTGGTGTAATTGTAATAAAAAAATGTGCCCGTTTAAATTTTAACCCAAATGATATATTACTGCAATTGAAAAATGATTGATCATCGTCAGTTTTAGTTCAGTTAATAATTGGCTCGTGAGGGGTTTTTTTTTTTTTATCTTTTAAAATTAAGTATTATATCAAAAATATTTATACAATTTTTTATCTTTTTATTTAAAAAATGAAATAAATTTTTTAATTTAACATAATAAATAAATTTTATTATTTAATACATTAATAAATAATTTAAATAAAATTTATTATTTATTAACAAATTTTATAAATATTAAATAATTTAAAATTTTTATTATATATAACTTAATATAATATTTTTAATGATCATTTTTTTTTAATATAATTCATTTCACTGCTATCACAACTTTTATATCTAAATACATATATCATTATTAATTTTAATAGCATGTTACAATAATAAATCTCATCTTTATTATTATTTTTAATCTTATCAAAATTAATTCATCATCCATCTAAATAAATCTTTAGACTTAATTTGAATCAAATTTAGTATCGATGAGAATGTTTTTGTTATGAAAAGCTATGCAAATAATAGCTTTGAAATTCAAATGCTATTGTAATGTGATGTGATTTTCACTTCATTGATATTTAAGGTTGCAGTCCACCTATGTCAGCTTTAATATTTTTATTTTTTCATTTTTTTTTTGCTTTAACTAGGAATGACAACGAGTCAAGTCAGGACGAATTTTTGCTCGTCTCGAATTCGACTCGATTTTACACCCGTAAACCCAAACCCGAATAAATTTTTTTTTATTTTTTTAATACCTAAACTCGATCCGACCTAAAATTAATAAAATATATTTTTTAAATATAAATATTTAAATATATAATTATACAAATATATATAAATAAAAAAATTAATTTAAAAATTATTTTTATATAATATTGGGTCGGGTCGGATTTGTCTAAAACCTGAACCCGACCCAACCAAAAACTGGATTTTCAAAAAAAAAAAAATCGATCCTATAAGATCGAGTCAAGTCAAAACCCACCAGAGACAGGTTGGGTTGCCCACCCTAACTCTCACTATAGTCATAAAAGAGTTGAATAAGCTCTTTTTTATCATTTTGACTCAAGTGAGTTGTTTTAATTTAATTTTTTATTTAAAAATTATAAAATAATTCTATTAATTTAAAATAAAAAATTTTATTATTACATAATAAATAAATAAATAAATAAAATTTGATTATTATTATATAATAATTAATTAATATATTTTATTTTATAATAAACTAATAAATATTTTTTATTTTTTATTATAATTTTAAATTATTTGTTAATTTTTATTCTAATACCTTTAATGATCATTTTCTCCTTTTATTATAATTTATCTTACTGTTACTACTGCTTTTATATCAAAATATATATTCAACCATTGATTTTATTCTCATTGCTATAATGGCCAATCTCATTTCTATTACTGTTTTCAATCTCATCAGAGTTAATCTCACGGTCAATCCAAATAAACACTTAAACTAAATCAAAAAATTAGTTTGATTAAGATTAAACTGTGAAAAATATAAAAATATATTATAATCCATCCATTCCAGTTTCCAATCTAATAAACCCAAAAATGTTTTTATATTATACTATAACATAAAACAAGAGTATCACCTTCCCATTCAACACAAACATATACTAATTAATCATAACATAAGTGATAACCTTACTATTTCTTTCTTTTTTATTTACATGAAGTATGCTATCTCATAACATCTATAACAATATATAAAAATTGTCTCTAATTTTATCTTAAATATAACGTCAGTAATGTCTTAAAATAAATTTAGAGGTTAAATTTAGACCATCAAAGAATAGTTTACAATTGGTTATTGTCTTTTGTCTCTAGTTTGTAAGGGTTTGAAAACCCTTAGACTCTTTTTCTTTCATTCACTCATTGACACACCTCTATCCATTCTGACATCTTCTTCTTTCCTCTATTAGCAATGTTGTCATTGCCTCTTCCATAATCATGGCTATTTTTTGCTAGCATTGGTCTTCTCTTGACTCTTCTTCATAAGTCTTTACTAAAAAAATCCACTTAAAAAATATGTAGGATAATACCCAAAAACAACCTTCGGACTAATTGTTTTTGTTAAAGGTTTCAAATATGCCAAAAATGGGAGGGAGATTGAAAGAAAGAGTTGAGAAATTCGAGGTAAGATCAAAACACTCGGCAGATGCATTGGTACCAGAGATTTCATCGAAGTTGAAACCAAAGATTAATAGAGGTGGTGAATCATTTCAAAGGCAAGCAAACTCCTGATGAGGTATCGTTCTATTTCTAGCCTTTACACACATAATCGTTTATATTAATATGCACATGCAGATTGAAAATTGGTCAATGCATGATGAAATTTCATTTTTCTTTTGCTTTAGCTAGAAATGGATAATGACAATGAAACTGATGCTATGATACACCAAACTGGTGGCACAAATTTATTGTTTGGAAATTCATTTTCTTTATACCTTTGCTTTGATGGCTATTTGGCAATTACTTGCTATTTACAAGTAACAATTTCTTGGTTGGCTACAAATTTAGGATTGTGATTTTTTTTTTGTCTTGTATTTTTAGCATGGCTTTACTTTGATGAAATATATGCAGTGAATATTAACTATCCCTACATATTTTGTTAAATGAATATTAATAAAAGTGGTGAATCATTTCAAAGGGGAATGGATGATCTTAATGATCAATAGACTATGATAAGAGTTCGTGAGGTGACAAAGAAAAAGCTAACCAATTGTTCTTAGAAGCCATAAAAACTAGAAAGGTAAGTGAAAAATATCTGTGCTTTTATGATGCACTAATAAAGAGATTTGGGATTAGTTCATGCATGAACTGGATAAGGGGTATAACAATGATTCTATGCTAAATAATAAATAAATATGCAATTTTTGATCTCTCGTACTTTATCTAATCAATTTTTTTTTCATTCATTGAATGGTGTTCTATTTGATTTTTTTTTAATATCACTAATTTCAAGTCAAATCTTTGGTAAAAGTTATGGGATGTGTATAGCTTGGAGAAGAATCGTGCTCTATTGATCCTTAGATTATGGTTCTAGATAGAAGCAAGTATTTTGATTAATAAACATTGAAACTATAATAAAATCCAGAGGTAAGGGTCTTGATTTTAGTAGAAATATTAACCAATTATAAAATTTATGTGCTGATGTGTTAATACTAAATTGAAAGGATTTACCTACTAGGGTGCTTCCTAAAAATATGTTGCTTTCAATGGATTGGAATTTGGTTCAAACAATTGTGCCCGTATGAGATTGACAATAATAGGGATTTATAATATCTTTCAAGCTGTCAATTCATTAACAAGGTATTTTTATATGTGAAGTTGAATCCACCTATGTAGCTTGTAGAAGAAGGTGTAGTTTCGATCATGATAATGAGAGAAAAGAAAGGAGAGAATATTGTAGAGGATGTAAAGAATAATGGGAAGCCAATTGTGGAACAAATAGTAATAATTGAGGAGCAAGGGGCTATCGTAAATGAAAATGCTAGATTAAATTTAAATTTTAAAGGGTCAATTATGATGAAGGGTAAGTCTTCTACCTACCTTTTGGTTTAGCTAATTTGATTTCAATTTGATAGGATTAAGGCATCAATAATTTTGAAATTTATATGTCATTTTTTTTTTTGTTATTTGCAAGTCCCATTATATAAAAATTTTTAGGTTCTTTCAGAAGTTTAGCATGTTATAATTTTTTACTTTGTGTTGGATCTTATGTGGTATTTAATCACATTAAATTATCCTTAATTCTTTTTTCTAAGGATTTATAAGGTTGATAATTATTATCTTTATAAGGATTTAGACTATTTAGAGATCTTTGTTTTATTAAAATTTAGTATAAATTTTTTAAGGTGATTATTTCTTAACTGACCTAGATTATTCTACCTTTTTTTTCATTTTAGAAGATAATAAATTGAAAGAGTTTATTGAGGAGTTTGAAAAAGATAAGCATTTAGAATTGGGTGCTAATGAATCTAAATATGAAATTGAAGAGTATCGTGGGATGGATTATGATGGGAAGCAAATGGATCCAAATGCAGTAGGGGATGAAGTAGAGGAGAAAAAGTATATTGAGGAAAAAATGGTGATTTGTCAAATGATAAAAATGTTTATGAAGTAGAAGGTGATGATGATGATGATAAATATGCTGGGGACAAAGTAGAGCATATAGATTTGGTTGATGCTGTTGAGTATGATGAGCGATATGAAGTTGTTCAAGAGAGAATAAAACATAAAGAGTTTGAAGTGTTTGTTGAGGGTTTAAACCAAGATGCCATTAGATGATATTATGAAAGTTTTCAGCCAAATTGGTGAAGTTATTAAAGTTAGGCTGATGATAAACCTTCAAACAAAGAAGAATAAAAGGTTTGTATTTTTGCATTTTGCATTTGTAGAACAAGCAAAGTGATCATTTACAAAATTTA